GGTACTTATGGTGAATTTAAAACAGTTTATGTTTGCAAATAATTTGTGTAAATTTCAAAAGAATTACTCAGAGTTTGAAAGAGTTAACTTTCTTTGATCAGATATTTTATATTGAGTTTGGTTGCGTATTCAAGTTGTAAGTTTGTTTGGTAATATTCGTAATAATTGTAATTAAGTTTCCGTACGTATGTGTGCTTGTGTGAACATGTTTTCATAGCGTCCGCCCGCAAGGGGTCGAAACGCGATTTCTTTAACAACTACATTTTAGTAAGCGAAAGAAATCAAAAAGAAGAGAGATAACGAACGTGTCGGGTATTTATAATCAACGTAATCATGTAATAAACTCCGAGAAGCATTTCTGATTTGGGCGGGAAAATGGTTTTGAATAACGCGTTGCCGTTGTACGGACGTAAGCGAGGAGATGATTTTAATATTACCTGACCAATGAGAAGTGAGAAAAATATCAACACTCTGTGATCCACTTTCTGCACAGATTTGCACAAAAAGTGACATTGTTAGAAAAGTGATAGCAGGGGGCTAAAGAGCCATTGCTGGTTCACCATCAGTTGTGATGCCAATTAGCTTCGAAAAATCAAACTTCATTTCTGATATCATTTTCAACAAAGCTTCAAAGAAGCAGACATGCTTCAGTTACGCTTTCCTTTATAGAAATTAACTGAATAAATTTTTCATAGATCTGAAAAACTGAAGTCACACCTCGCACAAAGACAGCAAGTTGTACCGTGTCACTTAAATCTGTATTCTCATCGATTGCAATTGAAACATATTGTAATTCACTGCAGGAGTTGATTAATTGATTTTTTTTTAACATCTGCTGACATTTCTTCAACCCGTCGCGTGGCCGTCCTCGGAGACAGGTTGATAGTTTCAAATAAAGATTTTTTTCTGGACAAACAATATACAACACTGCCAGTAAGTATTCTTAAAATAAAAAAAACGGCATCTGTAAAAGGGTTCATCTTTTTGGTGATGAGTTCTGTTTGCTTCATTTTTGCCTTTTCTTCTTTCAAAAAAAATGACGTTTGTTTCTTCAAAACTAGACTTCAGCCGCTCAACTTCATCTTTCCTTCCTTGTCCAGTAAATTTCCTAAAATTTTCACAACGGTCCGTCTCGTAATGTCGCCTAATATATTTGCTACCTTATATATATAATGTCGCCTTATATATTTACTTTCTAGACATATGAGACAAACCAAATACTGACGAAGGTGTGAGCTTTCCCGATGATAAGTGGATCCCCTATGTCCAATAAAAATGCAATAAAGAAACGCAGACAACTGTTTTAATAATAAAAAGGAATAAGTACTCTATAAAGTCATCTGCACACTATCTGTTACTCAAGTCCAATGTGAGAGGACATTTTCAAGCCTAAAGATCATAAAGAAGAGGTTAAGTAATTTGTTGTCTGGGGAGAATTGAATAATGCATGAAAAGGAATTGTTAGGTGAATTGGATGAAGAAGCAATTGGCAGATTCGCACAATCATCTAATGAACCGAAACCATTCCTCTTAATTTTATAAATGTTTAAACAAATTAATCATTGTTTAAAGGGAATAATACATTTTTTTATTAATTTTAATGGCATTTTCGTGTTTCTTACACTAAACCGGATATTGACTGCTCGACGACCCAAGACAGAATGCAAAAACGCATCTCTGCGCATCATGGCTCGACGCATGTTTTCGATATTAAATGATAAAATGAACTTTATATATTGACCAGTAGAAATAACTCCTGCTAAAAGACACAGACTGTGATTTGGGGCCGATACAACGGATATAAATTCCTTGATTCAACGCCGCAGAAGACAGAGAGGGAGGAGACCCGGATGAGATGTCGACATGCAGAGGTTGGTCGGTTGGTCAAGAACGCCGCAGACAGACTGAGACTGAACCCGATAGTTTTCAACTTTCATCCTTTCGTCGCCGCTGTCTTCACAAAACATCAGCCAAGAGCCATGACCAGCATTCTTTCTCCTTCTTTCTTCCTTCCCCACTCTGTTGCCTTTTACAACAGCAACGAGTCGTATGCTGGCTTTGTAACTAAATTTTCCATTTATTTACCCAAAATACGACGTATTCCCTTTTCCTCGAATTTACGTTTGCTGGGGCGAAGAAGAAATTAACCTCTTCAGCAGAAACAACCATATCGACAAGTTCTGCCTTTCAGGTTACTCATTCTTCGTTTGCGCAACAGCATGCATTTTGTTGCATTCGAAAGCCGCATCTCTCATATTACAATTGTTATAATACCAGTTAGTTATGTCTAATAACGTGGCTATAACTTGTATAACTTCCCCACCAGATCGCAGTGTGTGGTCGGGAAGATAGAAAAAAATGCTAGCTAACGGAAGGTACACAAGTCGATACCCGGTCAGTATCGGCTGGATCACCGTAGAGAGGGGGGATGATTTTGAAAGACCCGAAACCACTAAAGAATCTCGTCTAGAAACATCACTGACGATGTGTACCAATCCATCCAACAGATGTATTTTACGAAATTATTATTATTATTGCTATTGTCGGAGTTAGCTCCTCCTTAATTCCCTAATTATTCACCAGGGGTCGCTCTCCCTACACTATAACTACTGGGCAACTTCTTGCCTCGTTCTCTTTTTACTTTGCATTTCAGCGGACACATTTAAAAATGTGATCTCTCGCAAAAATCAGCGAACATTCACTAACATGCAAACTCTTTACATTCACACACAAACACAAATGTTAATGTCTTTGTCACTTGTAAATTTGTTGTTTAATACATATATTTGTTGATATATATATATATATATATATATATATATATAATTAATGAAAAAACGGACCACTTTAAGGTACCATTACAATAATTTATTTCTCCAAAATCCTTTTTGAAGGACTCCGGATCATCAGGTAACACTTCCAACAACCGGAGTCCTTCAAAAGGATTTTGGTGAAATAAATTATTGTAATGGTACCTTAAAGTGGTCTGTTTTTTCATTAAATATTAGCTCTGGATTCACAGTGAGCTCTCAGGATTTCATCCTCCTTGAAATACCAATTCGGTTTACCAAGTTCTTTAACTATATATATATATATATATATATATATATATATATATATATATATATATATATATATATTTTTTATTACTATGTATGCTATTTTTATGGATTCACGTAACTGAGTTGCTACCCTATTTTGTTTGAATTTTTTAAAAAGTGAAAGTAATAACCAGCCTAGACTGAGAAGGCCTACAAAAGTAAGATTGTGCCTCCCACAGCGAAGGGGATCCAGTTTAAACCGAAGCTAGCAGATATAGATTCGTAGAAGTCCCAACTAGAAAAATTGTGCATTCCTTAAATAAGTAATTCGAATCTTACTCGAATCTTCCGGGTCCGAATAGGTAAAGCCAAGTTTCAGGTATAGAAACAGTCTTTCTAAATCTAGGACGGTTGATATTAATTTCGCTGTTTAAAAAAAAAAAAAAATACTGACAAACCAGCTTAGTGAATCCCTGATTAAATAAAATAGGACACACCTTTGAAACAGGATATACCTTTTTGATTTCTCGCCCATATGATGTTAATTTCACCTTTCATTTTTCCTGTGAACGTGCAATAGACTCTTTACCAGTTTTTGTGCACATCGACGCAAAGGAGAAACAAAAAACAACGTGGGGTGTTTTCTCCTGCCGGTGAAAGACCGAGAGAAGACCCTAGAGTATACTTACAATTTCGCATTTAATTTGGATCTTTCAACTTCTGGAATATACTACATTTTAAATACGAACAAATAAAAACCTAGGCAGTCTGGAACATTTGTACCCCCCACCCCAAAAAAAAAAAAAAAAAACAAACAAAAAACAGTGTGTCAAAAGGACGGTTTTTCCCTTGACACTACTATTATTTTAACTACCTTCACTTCTTGGCAATGTTTATTGTTTTTATGTTTTTATAATTTTACATTTACAACATTCTAAAATTAATGCAATGCAATATTTATCATTAACGAATTTACAAAGAAAAAACATGAAAATTTTTTATTCATAAATTTATAAACTTTTACTAAATTATTAAACTTTGTGAACCAACTCTAAGGAAATCCTTATTATTTACCATTTTATAAAGTTCAAAATTCACTTGGTGTTTCGATGTTTTGCCAACCATTCCAATAAACAATAGTGTTGTAAATAAACAGGTCTGAGAATTTTTTTATTTGCAAAATTTTAGATTAAAATTCGAAGAGATTTCAATAACTTCAGTGAAGAAAATGTATTGAAATTTGGAACGCTACGCCTCTGATAGCAAAGTAGACGATGGTTTTTTACTGACGCCTTTTTATGGGGTTGGAGGTGGGAGACGGCGCCTTCCTTTGATTGGGAGAGATTGTCCTCAGTCAGAGATTTTTCCTTGGTCGATTAAGAAGACGCTTTATTCCGGCTCCGTGGTTTACCAGGTAAAGTAACGTGTTACTTCGAATATTCGACTTACAGTGTCGAATTATTTTCTTTAATATAGTTAATATTTATTTAACTTTAATTGCTATATATCTGATTTTATTTAGGGATGTGAAGAGAGTAAAGTGAGTTTTTTTTTTGTTTCGGGCGACTCTGTACAAAAGATTTTTTATTAGCTCCGGTAGAATTCCAAAGCTAAAATTTGTTTAAATATAGCTTGAGAAAAGTTATATTTTATTTTGATTTGATTTAAAGCCTATTGATGTTTGGACGCAAATATAGACCGTGTTTAAAGATAACAAAGGTACTTTGCGGATTTGGAGATTTGTTTCAACTTTGTCTAATAGACATTTATTTGGAAGAGGTGTTTTTATTCCCAAGAAGCGGAATTGGCTTTGATTTGTTTGTATTGTTAACTCGGAGAGTCAAAGTTTTAATTAGTAGAGTCGTTCGATGAGGGGAAGGGTGCGCCATTCTCGTTTTCTATTTAAAATGAGATTTAAAATATTTTAAATAGATTTTCATTTTAAAATTTGATTTTAGCTTAGGTTGAGCGTTGTGTTTTTATCGCGCCATTCCAGCCCCCAAAAAGGTGAAAAAGAATTTCTGAAGAAAAAAAAGAAATGTATCTGAAGAAAAAAGAGAAAAAGAATATCTGAAGATGAAAAAGAAATGTATCTAAAGAAAAAAGAGAAAAAGAATTTCTGAAGATAAAAAAAGAAATGTATCGGAAGAAAAAAGAGAAAAAGAATTTCTGAAGATGAAAAAGAAATGTATCTGAAGAAAAAAGAAATTCTGAAGATGAAAAAGAAATGTATCTGAAGAAAAAAGAATTTCTGAAGATGAAAAAGAAATGTATCTGAAGAAAAAAGAGAAAAAGAATTTCTGAAGATGAAAAAGAAATGTATCTGAAGAAAAAAGTATTTCTGAAGATGAAAAAGAAATGTATCTGAAGAAAAAAGAGAAAAAGAATTTCTGAAGATGAAAAAGAAATGTATCTGAAGAAAAAAGAGAAAAAGAATTTCTGAAGATGAAAAAAAAAATGTATCTGAAGAAAAAAGAATATCTGAAGATGAAAGAGAAATGTATCTGAAGAAAAAAGAGAAAAAGAATATCTGAAGATGAAACAGAAATGTATCTCAAGAAAAAAGAGAAAAAGAATTTCTGAAGATGAAAAAGAAATGTATCTGAAGAAAAACGAGAAAAAGAATTTCTGAAGATGAAAAAGAGATGTATCTGAAGAAAAAAGAATTTCTGAAGATGAAAAAGAAATGTATCTGAAGAAAAAGAGAAAAGAATTTGAAGATGAAAAAGAAATGTATCTGAAGAAAAAGAATTTCTGAAGATGAAAAAGAAATGTATCTGAAGAAAAAGAGAAAAGAATTTCTGCAGATGAAAAAAGAAATGTATATGAAGAAAAAAAGAGAAAAGAATTTCTGAAGATGAAAAGGAAATGTATCTGAAGAAAAAGAGAAAAGAATTTCTGAAGATGAAAAAGAAATGTATCTGAAGAAAAAGAGAATAAGAATTTCTGAAGATGAAAAAGAAATGTATCTGAAGAAAAAAGAGATGTATCGAAGAAAAAAGAATTTCTGAAGAAAAAAAAATGTATCTGAAAAAAAAAGAATTTCTGAAGAGAAAAGAAAAATGTATCTGAAGAAAAAAGAGAAAAAGAATTTCTGAAGATGAAAAAGAAATGTATCTGAAGAAAAAAGAATTTCTGAAGATGAAAAAGAAATGTATCTGAAGAAAAAAGAGAAAAAGAATTTCTGAAGATGAAAAAGAAATGTATCTGAAGAAAAAAGATAAAAAGAATTTCTGAAGATGAAAAAGAAATGTATCTGAAGAAAAAAGATAAAAAGAATTTCTGAAGATGAAAAAGAAATGTATCTGAAGAAAAAGAATATCTGAAGATGAAAAAGAAATGTATCTGAAGAAAAACGAGAAAAAGAATTTCTGAAGAAGAAAAAGAGATGTATCTGAAGAAAAAAGAATTTCTGAAGATGAAAAAGAAATGTATCTGAAGAAAAAAGAATTTCTGAAGATGAAAAAGAAATGTATCTGAAGAACAAAGAGAAAAAGAATTTCTGAAGATGAAAAAGAAATGTATCTGAAGAAAAAGAGAAAAAGAATTTCTGAAGATGAAAAAGAAATGTATCTGAAGACAAAAGAGAAAAAAGAATTTCTGAAGAAGAAAAGAAATGTATCTGAAGAAAAAGAAATGTATCTGAAAAAAAAAAGAATTTCTGAAGATGAAAAGAAAATGTATCTGAAGAACAAAGAGAAAAGAATTTCTGAAGATGAAAAGAATTTCTGAAGAAGAAAAAAAATGTATCTGAAGAAAAAGAAATGTATCTGAATTAAAAAGAATTTCTGAAGATGAAAAAGAAATGTATCTGAAGAACAAAGAGAAAAAGAATTTCTGAAGAAGAAAAAGAAATGTATCTGAAGAAAAAAGAGAAAAAGAATTTCTGAAGAAGAAAAAGAAACGTATCTGAAGAAAAAAGAGAAAAAGAATTTCTGAAGATGAAAAAGAATTTCTGAAGAAGAAAAAAAAATGTATCTGAAGAAAAAGAAATGTATCTGAATTAAAAAGAATTTCTGAAGATGAAAAAGAAATGTATCTGAAGAACAAAGAGAAAAAGAATTTCTGAAGATGAAAAAGAAATGTATCTGAAGAAAAAAGAGAAAAAGAATTTCTGAAGATGAAAAAGAAATGTATCTGAAGACAAAAGAGAAAAAGAATTTCTGAAGAAGAAAAAGAAATGTATCTGAAGAAAAAGAAATGTATCTGAAGAAAAAAGAATTTCTGAAGATGAAAAAGAAATGTATTTGAAGAACAAAGAGAAAAAGAATTTCTGAAGATGAAAAAGAAATGTATCTGAAGAAAAAAGAGAAAAAGAATTTCTGAAGATGAAAAAGAAATGTATCTAAAGAAAAAAGAGAAAAAGAATTTCTGAAGAAGAAAAAGAAATGTATCTGAAGAAAAAGAATTTCTGAAGATGAAAAAGAAATGTATCTGAAGAAAAAAGAGAAAAAGAATTTCTGAAGATGAAAAAGAAATGTATCTGAAGAAAAAAGAGAAAAAGAATTTCTGAAGATGAAAAGAAAATGTATCTGAAGAGAAAAGAATTTCTGAAGAAAAAAAGAAATTTGAAGAAAAAGAATTTCTGAAGATGAAAAAGAAATGTATTTCTGAAGATGAAAAAGAAAAGTTCTGAAGAAAAGAATTTCTGAAAAGAAAAGAAATATCTGAAGAAAAAAGAATTTCTGAAGATGAAAAAGAAATGTATCTGAAGAAAAAGAAAAAAGAATTTCTGAAGAAAAAAAAAATGTATCTGAAGAAAAAAAGAAAAAAGAATTTGAAGAAGAAAAAGAAATGTATCTGAAGAAAAGAATTTCTGAAGATGAAAAGAAATGTATCTGAAGAAAAAAAAGAAAAGAATCTGAAGATGAAAAAGAAATGAAAGAGAAAAGAATTTCTGAAGAAGAAAAAGAAATGTATCTGAAGAAAAAAGAGAAAAAGAATTTCTGAAGAAGAAAAAGAAATGTATCTGAAGAAAAAGAATTTCTGAAGATGAAAAAGAAATGTATCTGAAGAAAAAGAGAAAAAGAATTTCTGAAGATGAAAAAGAAATGTATCTGAAGAAAAAGAATTTCTGAAGAAGAAAAAGAAATGTATCTGAAGAAAAAGAGAAAAAAGAATTTCTGAAGATGAAAAAAAATGTATCTGAAGAGAAAAAGAATTTCTGAAGATGAAAAGAAATGTATCTGAAGAAAAAGAGAAATCTGAGAAAAAAAGAATTTCTGAAGATAAAAAAAAATGTATCTGAAGAAAAAAAAGAATTTCTGAAGAAGAAAAAGAAATGTATCTGAAGAAAAAGAGAAAAGAATTTCTGAAGATGAAAAGAAATGTATCTAAAGAAAAAAAGAGAAAAAGAATTTCTGAAGAAAAAAAGAAATGTATCTGAAGAAAAAGAAATGTATCTGAAGAAAAAAGAAATTTCTGAAGATGAAAAAGAAAAAGTATCTGAAGAACAAAAGAAAAAGTATTTGAAGAAATATGAAAAAAAATGTATCTGAAGAAAAATCTGAAGAAAAAGAATTTCTGAAGATGAAAAGAAATGTATCTAAAGAAAAAAGAGAAAAAGAATTTCTGAAGAAGAAAAAGAAATGTATCTGAAGAAAAAGAAAAAAGAAGATGAAAAAAAATGTATCTGAAGAAAAAGAAATGAAAGAAAAAGAATTTCTGAAGATGAAAAAGAAATGTATCTGAAGAAAAAAGAGAAAAAGAATTTCTGAAGATGAAAAAGAAATGTATCTGAAGAAAAAAGAGAAAAAGAATTTCTGAAGATGAAAAAGAAATGTATCTGAAGAGAAAAAGAATTTCTGAAGATGAAAAAGAAATGTATCTGAAGAAAAAGAATTTCTGAAGATGAAAAAGAAATGTATCTGAAGAAAAAGAATTTCTGAAGAAGAAAAAGAAATGTATCTGAAGAAAAAAGAGAAAAAGAATTTCTGAAGATGAAAAAGAAATGTATCTGAAGAAAGAAAAAAACGAATTTCTGAAGATGAAAAAGAAATGTATCTGAAGAAAAAAGAGAAAAAGAATTTCTGAAGAAGAAAAAGAAATGTATCTGAAGAAAAAGAATTTCTGAAGATGAAAAAGAAATGTATCTGAAGAAAAAAGAGAAAAAGAATTTCTGAAGATGAAAAAGAAATGTATCTGAAGAGAAAAAGAATTTCTGAAGAAGAAAAAAGAAATGTATCTGAAGAAAAAAGAGAAAAAGAATTTCTGAAGATGAAAAAGAAATGTATCTGAAGAGAAAAAGAATTTCTGAAGATGAAAAAGAAATGTATCTGAAGAAAAAGAGAAACAGAACTTCTGAAGATAAAAAAGAAATGTATCTGAAGAGAAAAAGAATTTCTGAAGAAGAAAAAGAAATGTATCTGAAGAAAAAAGAGAAAAAGAATTTCTGAAGATGAAAAAGAAATGTATCTGAAGAAAAAAGAGAAAAAGAATTTCTGAAGATGAAAAAGAAATGTATCTGAAGAAATTGACTGTTAAAAGATTTTAATACAAGTGTTTCATTGTAAAAAAAAAAGGTTGAAAAAAGAAAAGAAGTTTAAGTTGTCAGTTTAAAGAATGATACATTCTATAGACTGACAAAATTATTCATGTAAGTAAATCCTTTTGTTTATTATTATGTTTTGTTACTACTTAGCATACGGAACAATATGCCTGTAATTTTTGATTTATTAAAATAAATCTTTATCTGTGAACACAATATTTTGGTTGTTATCCAATAATTTTAAGATCGTCTGTTTCTATGAGTTGTTTTGTTTTACTTTCTTATGAAGAAGCCGAGAACAAAATCGGCAGTATAGTTCTGTGTATTAATATATATATTTTTAATTAAATTTGGGACTATTAATAATAATAATAATTTTTCTTCACAAATTAATAAATGAATTATGTTTATTATTTTTATTGTCAAGGACAATGTATAAATATATGTTTAGGTTTTAATAAAATTCTAATAAATGTTTTTTAAAACAATAAAACATTGACGAGGAGTGAAGCTAGTTAAAATAATAGGGGTGTCACTATTAAAATAGCTGTTTGTTTCATATTTCTGTTCTGATTACCAGCCTGAAGGCCCATGTTTTTCTTTAATAAGGTTTCTCGAATATTCAAGACGGTAGACGAAAATAAATATACAGTTTAATAAATAAATGGAGCCTCTACTCAAATACGAGTATTGAATTCACTAAAAATAATGTTTAAAATGCTAAAAGCTGGCGGAGCCCTGAATAAATCATCAGTTTCATAATATGGGAAACAGGTAAGGAATCCTCCATATTTGCCTGTCACCCCCTGCTGGAAGATGCACTCTTCCCCAAATAAACCTTTAACCAATAATCACTTTACTTTTCCAAATTCTATCACCCATTGGTTAAAAGGACACTAAAATGTAGCAAAGTTGAGACAAACCTTTTTTTTCCCGCGCAAGTCTCTGGAGCCTATTTGGAAACTCGAAAATCTATAAAAAGATTCGCTCGACTTAATTCAAGTTAGTCATTACACAATTGACAATTTTCCTTGCAGATATCAAACTATTTTAATTTCACAAAGTTAAACTATCAACCTTTACTCACTAAATTTCTGCATGGACAATCTTTGTACTTTATCTCACTTGCCACATTTAAGAAGCAACTTATTATCACTTTGTGTATGTTATATATATATATATATATATATATATATATATATATATATATATATATAAATGTTATTGAAATCTCTAATGACGTTGTTTTCAGTAATTTTTTGAAGTTGAATTGTTTATTTATTTTTGTTTGATTTATGTATTGTGGATAAATGCATTACGATGACGCACATTCTTGGCCTTCACAAAAAATCACCTTCTGATACATCTTACTCAGCATAGATTCCGCAACACAGGGTCCTCAATGAGGTGTCTGTTTTCATTGTTAACTTATGAGCATGCAGCATGAATCGAAATACAATATGGGTAATCGTCAGCTGGTTGGTGGAAAAAGCTTGAGCAACAATTTTATGCTTACATACATACATTAATGTAGGCATAAAAATAAGGTTAATTTGCAGTGTAACACACGCGCTCAGTTCGCGTTAAAAAAATTCCAGAATACTTACATTTATGTCTAATTGTATATGCTTCATCGGAATCTGGCTTGATAAATTTGATAAAATCTACCGTTTTTGGAGTTATCGACAGTAAAATTTCGGATTCATTTGCGTCGCAGACAGCCATTACTGGCGTTGTTTGCATACATTCGCTGTAGAATAGCTATCAGTGCAGGTATCATTGCACAAACTGAGCGTGTCTACGTAAATAGTTCTCGTGCGCAGTAATTGAGACAAATTTAGACAAGAAAGATCAGTTCCGAGCTTAGCTTTCCGTAGTCTTCCGCGTTTAGCTTTCCGCAGCGTATGTATGCATACAATGCAAGTAATGGCTGCCGCCAACAACGTGATCGAATCCAAAGTTTTACTGTCGATAACTCCAAAACGGTAGATTTTATCAATTTGTCAAGCCAGTTTTGAATGGAGCATGTACAATTACACATAAATGTAAATATTTTGGAAATTTTTAATGCGAACTGAACGCGGGTGTTACACTGCAAATTAGCCACACAAAAAATATCAGCTTAAATACGTTGATCCAAATTAAATTTTATTATAATCTACGGTTTATTTTTAAGGTATATTACAGTTGTTGTTGTTGTTGTTTTTTTTTGTTGTTGTTGTTTTATTTTTAATACATAAAAAAGAACAAGTAATCTCCCTTGAGTAATAAAAAATTTAATATTCACAACTCTAAAATAAAAAAACATTTTTTTACACACACACATTATATATAATACAAATCCCGTTCATTCTAAATGCCAAACATAATTTTTTAAAATTAAAAAAAACTGTAATCCCTGTATCTCCATCTATAAAAGGCAGGATGTATGTGTGTAACGAATGCACGGCCGCAATTTTCGACGGATTTGCACCAAAATTTACATGCACATGCTCCAAGTTAACGGGAAGGCCAAGACCGACTTTGCATTTCCCAACTCCCATCGATAGTGGAAATAATCGATTTTCATGCTTCTACGGCAGTTTTCATGTAGTTGGCGGCCATTTTCTACTGGCCAGAGTGAGAGCCTATAGCTGGCTACCACGAATAGGCAGGAAGATTCTATTGGCCAGCTTGAGAGCTAACAGCTGACTGACACGAATGTTAACTAGCATGCTAGTATGCAAAAAAAAAGTGGGAAAAATTTAAATCTGCATGGCTCCAATTGGCTCATTCGCTTGCTTAAACTCAATGTTGATTCTGATTCCGCAGAACTGGGTTGGGTGCGAAAAAGTATTTGTTGTTAACATTTTTTTTCATTCGGTTTTTCCAGTTACAAGTCCTTTTTTAAAACTGATCGTTTTGTGTTCATTTTGTTTAGTTCTTTTTTCATAACAGATTTAATGTTTAGTATAGAGCTTAGAAAAAATTTGCAGTGTGAGATAGGCAAGAAGTAAGGCATGTAGCAACATCAGCACGTCAAAGGGCACTCCTTTAAAGGCAAGGAAGGGCAAAAACATTTTAAGTCAAGTAATAGCGATTACTGTATAAGTCGTACGATTTTTGAATCAAGCACGGGCAACGCTGGGCTATAACTACACCAACATTGTGATAACAGATATATATTTTTAAAATTTAAATTACGGAACCAACAATCTATACTCGGCACCTGATTGTGTATAAAACTTCAAGGCGTGCTAGCGGTGAGGGGTTAATATGTATATTTATTAATATATACTTAATAGCTCTGTTGTGTTACATCAAGCACAGTTTTATTAACATCAGTGCTATATGTGCGATATAATTATATTTACATATCACTTTAAATGTTATTTTTAATGGATACTTGTATTTGAGTAGACGCTCTGTTTATTAATTTTTGTCTCCTCGCCTGAATATTCGTGAAACCTTATTATTAACGAAAAATATGCACTCTCCAGCAGTATTCAAACCTGAGTTACCCTAGGGGATCATTAGATCTGACCTCTCATCCACAGTGTGCATTGATGGTCAAGCAAAGCTGAATAGTACCTTTAAACACAGATTTTCTCTGACTCTCCAAATAAACATGTCTGCTCAGTTTTGTATCCTAAGATAAACAAACCAATTTGGTTAATTTGCAGTATAAGCACCAAAAGCCCACAGTAATGAAAATGTTCCATTATGGTGTGAAATTGCCTGATTATTTCGAAAATGACAATAAAAGTTTGCGCTCGATTACCTTTTAGGATTTATCGACAATGTAAGTTCAATCTCTTTCGCATTGTCTGGCTGCCATTAATGGCGTTATTTGCCTTGAGTAGTAATGCTCAGAAGCTTACTTAGTTAACGGCCTTTTTACTGCTTTTCATATCTTCTTACTCGTCTTGATTACTGCGCAATTTTCGTGAAAGTTATTTTAAAATGCGCTTTCTTTTTTTTTTTAAATGAAGCTTTAAATGAATATTTTTTTAATTGGTATAAATTCATTTTTTCCAATTAAATGAATTTTTTTTTATTAAATTGGTTTAAATTTGTTACAGAAACAATTGAAAGCTTTTCTAAATAATTATGTCATGGGTGAACCCCTTTTCAAAAAAGAAAAAAAAATTAAAAGAAATCGTTGAAAAAAAGGAAAACATTTTTTTTACCTTTCAGGTACGTAATTTCTATTTTAATTGCCGGATTTTAAGGAAACTTTCACGACAATTTAAAAAAAAAAACATCATTCAAAAAAAAAGGAAAACTTCATTTTCTTATCCTTTCAGGCATGTAATTTTGATTTTATTTTACGCTTTTTCATTTTTACTGATGTATTTGGAAATGCGCATTCAATTTTTAAAACTTCGCGCATTGCGTAGTAATCAGGACAAGTGAAGCTTCTTCGCATTATCACTTTAGGCAAACGTATGTAAACAAAGCCAGTAATGACAGCCATTCTGTCGACGCGATGCAAAAGAAGTCGAACTTACATTGTCCATAACTTGTAAACGGTGATAGAGTGCAAACTTTTGATGTCATTTTCGAAATAATCAGGCAGTTCCACACCAAAATGGAACATTTTCATTACCGTGGGCTTTTGGTACTTATACTGCAGATTAATCAGCAATTTTTAAAGAAAGGGACGGATTTTTTTTTTAATAATTTGACAGAATTCTTACGACTTAAACGTTAATTTTAGTGGATATTTGTAATTGATTCGACGCTCCCTTTATTTATTGAACAGTATATTCATTTATTTTTGTCTATCGACCTGAATATTTGAAAAATCTTATGGTCTCTCTGGCAGCACTTGAACCTGCGTTCTTCTATGGGAAACTATCATTTGATCTGACGTGCTTTGACCTCTTGGCTTCAGAATGTGTCAATGGTCAAGCAAAGTTGAACAATATCCACTAAAAGAAACGTTTAAGTAATAAACATCTGTTGGATTAAAAAAAAAATCCATCCTTTTATTT